ACAATGTAATTATTATTACTTGCTTATACATCAGTGTGAATTTTAACCTTTGTGGGGGAAAGGACTTGATTGTTTGTCAGGGGCCAGGCAGATTTTAACTATAGCCTCATTTGGAAGCTGCTTGGCTGTCTTTGGAATTTGGCTGACAGATGCAGGTGACCAAAGTAGCCAACAACTGGAGAAGAATATTGACAAAAAGGACAGTGCAGTAACTAGGGCTGTGTAAAGCTCTTGAGGTTGGGACTCTGGTGGAATTTTTATCTGCTTTCAAAACCAATGGTGTTACTTTCCCATCATTCAGGGATGTTAAAATCATACTAATTGGTTCAAAAATAGATGAGATATTTAATTGTGTTCCACTGCATTCTGATATGGGAAAGGCATGATGGTTATTTGATTTGATTTGATTTGATTTATTTATTGTCACATATATTTTGTTACAAAATACAATGAGGAGTGTTGTATAGTATCACAACTCTTTGGTGCCACAGGACTCCAACAGTAATGTAACTTTATGCACACATCCATAACAACAACTTAAATTTATGTAGCACTTTAATGTCATAAAATGGCATAGGGTGCAGAAATGTTATCGAACAAATTTTACATTGAACCACAAAGGGAGTAATATGATACATATCTTAATAGTGGAGCAATTAAAATCAGGGGTTTCCATAAGGCCAGATTGGGGAGCACAGGGAACACTTCCATCCTGTATAAGCATGTTTTTCCAGCTGTCTCCCTCTTCTGATTTAACACTGCTCCTCGGGGAAACAATAAAACATGATAGTGAAAGAGGTTTTGTCATGGTGGTGGGGGTGAGGGGATCAGGTGTATGGGGGGGTGGGCGGGGGGGAATATCATTCCTTGGCAGTATCCAGCACCCTGGCTTCCATGGGGGACATTGCCCATTAGGAGACCTGGCACATTTACTTGATATGCTTGGGGCTAGAGGGTAAAGTGGGCAGACAAAGGCTGAGGTGGATGGGTTAGTTGCAAACCTGGGGAAATGCAAAGCCTATGGAATTGATAGGGAGGATTACCAAGAAAGGGATTTTTATGTTTGAGATATCACCGAGACAGGGAGGCAGGACCTGAGATTCATTGTTTAAGGAGTGACCCCTGTTACCTTTCATCATGTTATAAATAACAAGTACACAATGGAGACAAAAATGGCTGCAAACCACACGTTGGGGGTCTGGGCAGCATTCTGTGAGAGAAGGGCTTTCAAGTTCGAGTGATGTGAGGTACTTTAAAGAACAACACTGTCACACAGCTGCCCATACACTGAAGCTGAAACACACACCTGCCAACACTGTATGCTTTGTGAACATTATCTACTATGGGAAGTCTAAACCCTTGCCTGAAACTCTCCTGACCACAGGAAAACAACTGAATCCCACTAATGCCTGTGACAGAATACTAGTACCTGGAAAGATTGGTGATAGTGGCCAAAGTAGCAGCAAATGATGATTAACCCATTGCCTGTATGTGGTACAGGATCTGTCCACAGCTTAAATCATGCCACATCATTTAGTACTATTGATAGGTTGATTCTGTACTTTCAGCGTTGCAGTTGTAGGCAGACAGACACTCTCCCATTCTGATGAATGTGAAAAGAGAACATATGTTTAAAAATGTGGATATGTTACCTTTGCTACCAATTTGCCCTCAGAAAGTCCTCTTATTTCTTTCCCTCTCACTACGCGTCAGTGCAGTCCCGGGTTTCTTCAGCTAGTGTGGAGGGATCCTCCCCAGTAGTGCAGCCCGTTGGCTTGGAGGCTTGGTTCGGCAGCTCTGGGGATGCTTCTGTCTACAGGGCCTAGACTTGCGGTGTGTCCTGTCCAGAGGCAGATGCAGTCTCATTGGCTTGACTTCCCACAGGCTGAGGGCAGCAGGCAGGATGAGGTGGAATGGCCTGGCCACCTGGAGTGCCCTGAGAGGAGACGTCTGGTTGGTTTTTGTGTGGGTCATCTTCAGGCTGGGTGCCTGCTGCCACTGTCATGTCTGGTTGTGAGGAAGGTCCACCTGGAGTGAGGTCAAAGTCAATTGGCCCCATGTTACCTTGCTATTGGTTCTTAGCACCAGTAACTAGTTCATGTTTCTGTGCATATCCTGCAGGTGCTCAGATTGCTTGCTGCTCCTGTGCCCATTTGTGCATTTTAATGGAGTCACAAATGACCAACACCATGAGATCCTGCCTGGGGTTGAACAGATGCTTAGCTACCTGCAGACTTCCAAGTGCTAGGGACCTGGGACATTTCTGCTTTGACCAGCTGTGGAGACATGGCAGTGAAGTGCTCACCAACAAGTGCTCCTGATCCTAATCTAAAAAACATATTCACTGAGGGGTCAGGGTCTGAGCTGGTGCAGGTGGCAGTCCTGCCAGGCTTTCCTTTGAGGCACTCATGCTTTCAGAGGTGGAAGAGGGAACGTGTGCAGGACGGCCATCTTGACATTGGACATCATGGAAATCCCATCAGGACCAACAGGAAGCCAAAGAGAGAATGTCACAACCAGTGGGTAGAATTTGTGGCACAGTAACATTAAATGCACAGTGTTGGAAATGGGAGGGTAGCACAACAGTGATCAGTACTTTTTATTTGGTTGCTGGGACGTAGAGATTTCAGCATCTCCACTGGAAGGGTTTCTGTCCTCACCTGCCAGAACCTAGACCCTCCCCTTGTAGGCAGTGAGGAGATGAATATCCAGCATACCTGCACCTGTCATGAGCATTTTGACTGTTCTTTTGGAAATTTTCTCCTTTGTTCTGTGGTCCTCTCCTCCACACAATCCCATCCACCAGGACCTTCAGGTTCCTGTCTGCAAAGTGGGTTGCCAATTTCCCCTTGTCTGCCAAGCCTGGGGCAATCTTGCAGGGCAGCTCTGGACTGCCGGTACTTGACTGGGTGCACAATGGCCTTTTATATGTGGTGCCAGCACCAGGGTTGTCGGCATGTCCTGGCAGTGATAAGTAGCTCCAGATATGGCAAGGGGGAGAACTGCATTAGTAACAGATGAGAGGAATGTGTGGTAGGCAGTGAATGAGATGAGTTTGGGACGATTGCACAAAAATCTTATTAGTATCCACAGAGAGAAACCCTCCATGAAACTCATCAAAACCGACACTTTTCCAAAATATGGGAAGGTTCAGCCCAAAGACCGAGTCAACATTTAAAAATAGATTAAATAGTTTCTGAAGGAATATATGGAATGTGCCTCGTGGAATGGGTGCTGGATCGGGATTATTCGTTCTATTGTTTTTTTGAATGTGAATTTTTATTTCTGTGGAAAGTTCAAAATATTTGTTTGTCTTTCTTTACATTAGAAGATTAAAGAAATAAAGTAGTAAGAAGAGAGCATTGGAGTATTAAAGTCATGTTGAATATTTTACAGTTGACTTTTACAAAACAGGAGAAATCTGTAACTTTACACAAGTTTATACTTGTATAGATCTTATTGCTTTGAGAATTCAATAAGAAAAAAAATGCTGCTGATTTGTTTATGTGGTTGACCTTTTGCTGCTTTCTTTTGCCCCACCCTCTGTGACATGGTATCATGAGATCATGACACATTGTCACCACACTGGAGTCATGTCTTTGAACTACCACCCAATTTTGTGTTCTCCTCACTTCACTAGAACTGTTCCTTGCACCAGCCCTCAAATCTGCACTGACCCTATAAATTGATATAGAATTGTATAGAGGCATTGGGCCATGTGGTTCAATCTTGTGTTATGCTCGGCATAAGCCTCCTGTCATTCAACTTCATCTTATCATATCAGCACAGCCTTCTTCTACTTTCTATCTCAATGTACCTCTTTTACTTTCCCTTATATTTATCTGTGCTACTCACTTCAATGACTCTGCGCATTAAGTTGCATGTTCGAAATTGTCCAGATGAAGAAGTTTCTTGCTTGAATTTCCATTAAATTTATAGGAACCATTATATTTATGGGAACTTATAGTTTTGGGTTCTTTCATGAGTGGAAACATTTCCTCTAAATTTACCAAAGCTGCCTCCCAGTATCTGCACTGATGCCAGTCTGGAATGTAACGTGTGTGTGTGTGTGTGAGAATGTGTGTGTGCTTGTTTGTATGTCCGTGCATCTGTGTGTATGTGTACAATTATGAGTGCATGTATTATCAAACATGCTTCATAATTGTAAAAGAGAAGACTGCTGGTAGCTCACTCCTCAGCCTTCTCTTTTGTAGAGGAGAGCCCCAGTCTGTTCAATCTTTGCTGTTAAGTTTACCTTTCACTGTTCTCTTGCTGACTGATCCTCACTAGCCTTCGCCCTCTGGTTTCACTCTCATTCCTCCTCCACTCTTTCTAGACTTTGGGACATTACTAACCTCCACTAGAATCCTGAACGAATCCCTGTTCCTTCATGTCAGTACTTCTCACCTCCTCTGCCCTCTGTTTCTATTAGGGTTATATTCTATTCCATCCTATTGCAGAAATGAGTCTGGCTTAAACCTCTTTGACTCAGCATTTCACTTTCCTTCATTAACATCCTTCATAAAACACACCACAGTAAATGATCTTCAAGTTAACCCTTCTAAAATCTCATTCTCTGACAAGGCACTCATTTTAGGTCATCCCACTTTAAGGAATACTGCTCCTGTGAAGCCTCTTTGGTCATTTTCCTACATTATATATAAATGCAAATTATTATTGTTCTGGGAGGAGAAATGTTTACTGTGTAATACCTAGTTATAAACAATATGCCAAGAATTTTGCGTTATTCTTAAACCCCTGTGACTAAACTGAGAATAAAGGGGTCTTTGATTGCTCAGCCTTGGTCTAAATGCAGCAATCCAGTTGTTGCTTTAAAACTGTGGGTTTCAATTTCAAAGGATATTAGCCTTGACGACACTGTTTTAGTTTTGGTTAGGCAGCTAGATCAGTAGAGACCCAGTCAAATTTGACTCTGACGGACCGCCCCCTCAGTCCTTACATAGACTAAACTAGTTCGACAAATCTCTCCTCAGTTGTCACTCACATACTGGTAGAAAGCAGCAGGCAGGCTGGCGTTCAGGGCTCGTCCACTTTAAGGTTAGTTTCTACAAATTCTTAAGATTCCCTGGTTTAGAACTTAACAAGAACTTCCGGTAAGTTTTAGGATTGTACTTTTCCCTAATGGTAATCTGCAGTAAAAAATTTGAGTATCTCAAACTGAAAATCTTAATCACTGATTGCTTGCTATTCTATAAGACTCTATCCTGTGGAAGCAACACTGTATACTTCCAGTAAGGCATTTGTAGTTAAACTTAAGTGAAACAATCTTTTTGAGTTTGTTCATTAGTACACCAACAAGATAATTGAGAATGTTGGTCTGGTACTTATTAAGATATGTGCAGGATTAAAATATCGCTCCGGTTATTTTGTACTTTAGCCAAGGAAACTTGACTCATAAACAAGGGATGTAGCAGTAGAGAAATAACAAAACGGTGTTTGGTCATGATAGTTGTAAAGGAGAAGTTCATGCAACTGCATATCTGAAGGGCAAGAACTTCAGGCATGTCCACTGTGGTTTTAATTACCATGCTGTGTTTGAAACACACAAGGTCACAATTTCTAACTAGTGGAAATCCTACCATTAATAGTTTGATTTCCATGAAAATGTATATTTACTTTAATTTTATTTTTGATTGATAGACATACAATATTTTTTGCTAAATTAATAGCAGGTAGAAAAATATAATTTAAATTCTAGATTACCCCAAACAATACAAAATATGTGCGTCATTGAACGCAGAAAGCAATGACTCCTGTTCAACACAGAATTTAATAGGGACATAAACTCCCACTTCATTTGCACTGTACTATTTATCTTGATTAAAATTCGTACAGAAATTAAGCATCAGTAAGGTCAAACAATAATGTCAAGATATTGTGTACCTTTGGACTGAAAATGTAAGCACCTAAGTGTTAATTGATAAACAAGTGAGCCAGAGTAAAGTTTAACATTACACTGCCTGAATTGAGATCAACTTCAGAGTTATTTATTTCTGTAAAATATTCTCTGGAGCATTTAATAAAGCATATTTGATATGTATGATAATATGGATAACATAAATAGTTAGGAGTTTATATTAAATAGGATATCTTAAAGTTGAACAGAGTTTAGTTTTAGGAAATACCAGAAAGAATGTGACTACTCAGCAACTACATTAACTATTTGGTGCACAGTATGTGCGGTATCAGAGTGCTTGAAACGTATTAGATACACTGCTGCAGTATATATGTACTATCTTTGAACTATCACTGAAAGTAAGCAACTGCTCAACACCCTCAGAATATTAGCTTCTGAGCAGTAGCATCAAGTAAAATATAAGCCACACACTTCATGTTATTTTCCTGCAACCATTTAACAAGGTAATAACACCTGTGAATTCCAATCAAAAAATTAGTTTACATTATTTTACATATCTGTCTTTCCACCGCTTCTGTGCTGTCAGCTTGTTTATCTAATTTTCAGACTTGGATGAAAATGAATTTCCTCTGACTGAACTTTGGGAAGTCCATAGCCATTGTTTTCGGTCCCCACCACAAACTCAGTTCCTTCATCACTGATTCCAGCCCCTCCCTGGTCATGCTCTCAACCTGAACTAGGCTGTTCATAACTTCAGTATCTTAACTTATTCTGAGCTGTGTTTCCAAATCCATGTATTATGCATCACAAAATCTACCTACTTTGCATTTTATAACTTTGTTTGTTTCCACTTCTCAGCTTTTCTGCAGCTGACTCCCAAATCTATACTTTTATTATTTGCAGAATTTATTATTCCAATCCTTTCTTGGCAGGCCTCCCACCCTCTAGAAACTCATTCAAAACCTGGCCGTCCATATCCGGATCTTTACCAAGTCTGGCCCACCATTACATCTGTGCATGCTGACCCACATGGTTCCTATCAATCCCATTTTAAAACCCATCCTCAAATTCAAATCTCTCCATTATCTGGGCTTTTATAATCTCCCTAGTGTTTTGCAGGCCTTTAGGAATGCTGTTCACTTGTACCTCTGGCCTTCTGTGAAACCCCAATTCAGTTGTGTTCAGTTATCTTGGCCCCAAGCTTTGAAATAACATCTCAGCACCTTCAGCTCTCTCTCATCCTTTAAACTGCTCCCTAAAATCAATCCCTTATCAAACCTTGAATGCCTTATCAAATCCCTCTTGAATATGCTCCTGTGAAGCACCTTGGGCAATGAATTACATTTAAAATGACTGAAGGGCAGGATTTTGCTACCATTGTTGTTGATGATGCTCTTACAGACTAACCAGATTAAGAAAACATGCCTGAACCAATGTTTGTACAAAATGTTCAATTTCAGAGTTCACCAGTGAATTGTTAAATATAACATCTTAGGTGCTGCTTTAATAATAGATAGATAGGCATGTACTGTCTTTGCCATAGTATATGATTGTATGAGGTTCATATCTTTCACACACAATGATGAATGAATTGTTTGTATGTGAAATGAATTTTATGCATTCAATGTAATTTGACGATAATACTTTTTTGCTGACAAAACTTAACGTATTTGAGCTTCCTGGTTCACGTAGACATAACATGTTTCAGCACTTCCATACAAAGATAAGTTTTTTCAAAAGCATTTTTAAGTGCTTTGTTTTACTTATTAGAGTAAGCATGTTCATCCATACCGATTTATTCATGATCATTCAGTGGACTCAATATAATTTACCAAATAACATACAAGGGCAAAGGCATCTTATGTCTGATTGCTATTTCTTTTAGGCTAATTAAAATGTTGGATCCTATTTCACTGTGCAGCTATAACATTTCAGTCATGTGCACACACCAACATTTTGTGGACTCTCTCAGCCATTAATAGGAAATTAAGATTTAGAACTCAGGAAGCAGTGAATGCTTCACTGTAATTTTTATTTACAATGTTTTGTGCTAGAGCACTTAGAAGCTGTTGCCAAAAAGTGATCTTGGCATTGACCACTATACATTGTTTGTTTGACTGTTAAATCTCCAGGGTTACTTCATTTTTCTTGAAATAAGCAGGATTGTTTTCAGTTTTGTTCTAAAATATGTTCTGTCCTAAATGCCTTTTGATAGTAATGGGGATGTTTTGTAAAGAGAGGTTTAAAGTAAGTAATTAATCTGAGTGATAGTTCCTTAAATTCATTTGACATCAATTAGTTACATTCTTTTCCTCTTTTCATTGGTTTTAAGTGAGAAGTAAACAGATTTAGCATCAAACTGCTAAGGTCATATACGGTGAACAGAATAAAACCTGAACTTCTCTTGAAATGTTTACTGCTGTTCTGACCAATAAAGACAGCAGCCCTGGAAAGAAAGCACAGGAGTTGTGATATCATTTCTGGGATTCCACACCGCCTCTGATTTTTGACATCTTGAGCCTTACGGTATAATAGAACCCAGATGTATGAATAATACCTAAACTAAATGCCTGGGCTAATGGGTCCTTTTTATGAGGAAATTCAAATTTTTTTTATAGTGGATTCGTGTTTTTGCCAATATTACAGTGATGATTTTACTTTAAAAGTCTTTACTTGGATATAAACCACTTTGGGACATTGTGCTGAGGTGAAATCTGTCATACAAATACAGGAGTGGGAGGAAGATTGGGTACGGCCAGGAATTGAGTGCAGGGATGGTGCTGTTTGATTAATCTAGGCCCATTTGTAGTAAATCAGGCAGCACACAAACTTTGAACTGCTTGGTAATTTAAAGCAGGGTGAGGAGAAACCTAATACTAAATACGCTGCTGAATGACTACAGGCTTCAATAGAGGGCCTAGATCATGTATGGCTAGCAGGTGAAGTGCATTCTGGCTACAATACATACTGGAACTAGTTAAAGAAAAGTTAATGAGCACATGGATGGGTTGAAACGGCACAGCAGGCCTGTAGCATGCTCCTAATTTCTCTGTTGCTGCACCAACTTTCACTGCAGGAGGTGGATCTTGTGTCTGTTGATCTCTGCTGGAACCATCTGGGGTGCTTTTGGTGGATTCACCACCACACTCCTCCTTGTTGGTATTGGTCTAAGCCACTGATATTGTGTGAGCAAAGGTGCCTACACAATGTCTTAGGCAGAAGACTAGCTCAATCCTGATGAAGTGTAGATAGGTTTATTACATAATACTTAATTGCTTATTATGTTTAATCTGAAGTGTAAGATGTTTTCTTGCAAGACATCAGGATTAGCATAAGAATATGCTCATAATTCATCAAGGCACAAGTCAGGAGTGTGATAGAATACTCCCCACTTGCCTGGATGCATGCAGCTCCAACAACACTCATGAAGCTTGATACCATCCAGGTGAAAGCAGACTGTTTGACTAGCACCACATCCACAAACATTGACTCCCTACAGTGTTGATGGTCATTAACAGCAATACATTCCATCTACAAGATGCATTGCAGAAATTCACAAAAGGCTTCTAAGACAGCACATTCCAAACACACAACCGCTTCCATCTAAAAGGGCAAGGGCAGCAGATACATCAGAACACCATCACCTGAAAGGTCCCCGCAAAACTACTCACCATCCTGACTTGGAAATATATCAAGGTTTTTGAGAAGATTTGGAAATAAATCATTGTTCCTTCACTGTCACTGGATCAAATTCTGGAATTCCTCCCCAGTGGCTTTGTGAGTCTACCTACACCAAATAGATTGCAGCAGTTTAAGTAAACTTTAAGGATTAACGTAACTAGCAAGAGATGCCCATAACCTGTGAAACAATAAAAAAGGTCCACAAAAACATTCTCAAAGATTATTGGTAAACAAGCACAGAGCTCTAACAACACTCTGCTTATGGAGAACTGGTATAGCACTACACAACTCTCATTAGCTTTTCTCGGGAATGTAATTTATACGATGGACAGAGATTATCTTGTGATGTCAGTTAATCCTTTCAGGTACTAACTGTCTTATATAACAGTGGACGGGAAGATAAAGAGATCTGCTCCCTCCAGACACATACTGGGAAGACAGTGGGCCAAACATCAAATTCAGACACTAATGTAGCTCCTTGGACTTGGATGGAGGGCCA